ATATTTTATATTTATAAATTTTATATATATATATATATATAAAATTTTATATAATATTACAATTAATATTAATATATCGTTATAGCTATATAGATTGTTGTTCAAACAATACAACAATACTGACATCTACAACATGCAAATATGTTAATTTCTTGAAATATTAACTCAAATCTCAGGGTAAATCTTTTAGGTCAGAGGGGTTTGGTTGAATCTCTGGACTAGTTTAACTGGTGTTAATGCACAGATGAACTCTCTTTCTGTGTCTCTTTCGTTGTTTATCGTCCGTCAGCCAGTCGAGCATCTCCCAGCCGCAGTCATTAAAATGATTTATTTAAGAAAGCGCCACGGGCCGCGAGATTAGTGTGACAGCTCTATTTTATAATTCATTTTCCACAGCCAGAGGAAGAGCCGGTGAGGACGATGACACACATACGAGTCCAAAGCCGAGAGAAAACCAGCTCTCAACGAGACACCAGACGGAGGAATCTGTGCTTATAAAGCTAAACAGACACATGTACGAGCGGTTTATGAAGGAAACGGAGAGAAAACAACATCAAACACATTCACACACAGAACTAATGAAGCTCAGGAGAAGATGGCTAATATTACCAATAAACACCAGTGCATGTGATATGTAGGTCACAATTGCTGCTTCAGCCAATCAGATTCACTCTGGCTGCTTCAGCCAATCAGATTCACTCTGGCTGCTTCAGCCAATCAGATTCACTCTGGCTGCTTCAGCCAATCAGATTCACTCTGGCTGCTTCAGCCAATCAGATTCACTCTGGCTGCTTCAGCCAATCAGATTCACTCTGGCTGCCGGGGGAGGGCTGTCAATCATGTGTGTGTGTTTTTTTTAACCTGATTGTATTTCATGAATAATTTCTGCTGGTCTTGGGAGAAGCCCTGAGTGTTTATTCCCTGTAAACAGTCATTTGCATTCGACTGTCTCTAACCCACAATCCTTTGCTCTATGAAGCGCAGAGATCCATCCAATTAGGGAATGAAAGGTCAGAGCGTCTCTAACTACATCTACACACGGGAAACACTGGAGACACTGACCGCATGCAGCATTCTGGGTAATATCGCTCACACCCTGCTGCCTGCGCTGATGCTCTACAAGAAAACGCAGTCAGAGAAATGAAACGTTCGCCAACAGAGTCCGATAACGATGAGAGAGAGAGAAGAAGAGCTGTACTCACCATTGAGAGCCACGAACGAATCTGGAGACGAATGAAAAACGTGTTAATTGGCTGAAATGTGATTATCTCACACGCACACAGATAATTTATTACTGAATTAATTTAAAACTGCGACAGCAGAACATTTAACAACATCATAGCAGAGTTTAGAAATAACTTGAGTGCGTCTAAGACGACTGAAGACTCGTTCACACCAATGATAATCACTATAAAGATTTAGCCATCAAAAAATCACAATCAAGTCCACACTACAGATGTAACGATAACGACACCGAGGAAGATCCTCCTGAACGATATCACAGGAATCACTGATGAACGATAAAAGCATTGACAGCCAATCAGAATGCACCGATATTAAAGATCTTGAGCATTTAAAGCAACAGACGACTAAACGACAGCACGCTAATAATAAACACAACCATTTCTGTTGTTTGAAGCAGCAGATAGATGTCAGCAATTTGAAAATGAGCGACGTTTTATAACATTGTATAAAGTATAAAACAAATGAGCGGGCATGGTTTTATAAAACCGGACTGTTCGTTTCTCAGACTGGATGGATAGCCACCCTACTTCCTTCTCAAGGCCCATTTCATAAAAAGCTTTTTCTGAAATGACAGGGAAAGCATCAAGTCAAAAGCCTTTAAATTGCAGACACCGATCGTATCCCATAATCCTTCACTTCAGAGAAACTGCACAAGCCGATCACGTAACGGCTACATTTCTGAAGAGGAACTTCAAACTCGAGAGCTTCTGAACAGACTCACACTCACTCAGACTCATCAAACAGATCAGACTCGTATCAGTAGAGCTGCTTTATAGCACAATCGAATTCAACACTGTTATTGACCTGAATCATCAAACGAAGTTGATCAGAATAACATCACTATTGTCTTCAGTAGAGCTGCTTACATCTGAAATAAATTGATTTTATAAATCGATGAACTTTACACTGTTATTAAACTGAACTGAACAATGACTCTATTGTTTTCAGTAGAGCTGCTTTGAGGTTAAGAATCGAATTTCAACTTCAGAATCGAAGAATTGAATTTGTTTTACATTTACATTTAGTCATTTAGCAGACGCTTTTATCCAAAGCGACTTGGACAATGGAAGCAATCAAATTTTTCAATTATTTTCAATAATTGATGAACTTTGAAACATCGACTGTTACTGAACTGAATTGATCTGAATGACTCCATTGTCTTCTGTAGAGCTGCTTAACAGCTGAAATTGAATTTAGTATCACAATTGATGAATTTTACAACATTATCACTGTTATTTTCCAGTTTATCACTATAAAGCTGTTTTGAATCAATTTGTATTGTATAAAGTGCTACAGAAATAAATCTGACAAGTGGTTTTATACACAAAATGATTTATCAAGTTGTAAATAAAGAGTACTGATTATAGTATATTTTAGATTATAGTATATTTTACAAATAAATACTCTTTCAGTGTTTTTACTTCAAATTTCACATTTAATTCAGTGTGTGACTTCTTTGTGTTTCTTTGTGATTATTTGTGAAATTTAGTAGCAATTTCTGAGTAAAACTGTGGTAAATCAGTCTTTTTACTGTAGACTCACATGTGGAAATTTTCTTGTTGCTTCGCATCCAGTTATGCTAATTAACTAAGCTTGTTACTATTCATAACTGTATATTTATGAACGTCGTTAATAAAACACCAGCATCACCAGTATATTGTTTTGAACATGGTTAAAATCACAGTAACATGGCTCTGCTGTTTTGCTTTAAAGGAGACATATTATGCCCCTTTTTACAACATGTAATAAAAGTCTCTGGTGTCCCCAGAATGTGTCTGTGAAGTTTCAGCTCAAAATACTCCACAGATCATCTTTACAGTGTGTGTATCAGCAGCAATATACATTAAAATCAATAAATGCACTGCTCTGTTGTCTCCTCTGAGGCTGGGACTCTAAACAGTGTTCTGTGCTCGTCTGTGCAGCCAAACACAGAACAGTTAGCATGCTTTGCTCAAACTTTCATCATGGCATTAGAGCTGCTACACCGTTGTCACTTACGAAAACACAATAACGGTTCCGTGGGTGTAAACTTACAGATTAAGGGGCGGTGATATTATAATGAGATCCCTTTGCCTCGTCACCAAGTGAGAGAAATCAGATGCGCTCGTTTTCTCAGACGCTTGCAGAAAAAGGCTTCCCAAAACAAAGTTACTGGGTTAA